AGAGCTGCCGACCACTGACTAGATCTCGTCGGAGTTGATCCGGCAATGCTCCCAACAGCATTGCGATGCCCCTCTGTTCAATCCTCTGCAGTGCAGGCTCCACCACCACCACCGGCTTGGCTCGCAGGCGTTCCAGAGGACTCATTGTCAACCATCGGGCATAGTGCTCCTGCGCAATCGAGAGGGATTCTTCCCACCATGCCTTGGCACTGTGCGAGATGTCAGCCATCAGGGGAAAACTCATTGTGAGCCAGTCCCCAAACAAGATTGAGGCCCCTTCAACATTCGGAGAGGGTAGAGCAGGAAGTTCAAGATTCCTCAGTGCCTCCGTCATTGAAGCAGTTGATGCCCCACCACCAATCCTGTCCTGAACCCTGGTCCATTGCAGAGCTCAACAATGGGTGACGCCCTTGAGGTAATCCAGGAGGTTGATCCAGTGCAGGGTCTCCCAGGGGTTGACCACTTGAGACGGTCTTATACGAGGTCGTATCTGTCGGCTCACGGGACGTGCCAAGGCGACGCAGCTCCCTTTGAAAGGTCTCCTCAGCCTCCCGAAGGATCCTCGCCCTCAGCGCCTCCAGATCATCCTGACCCGGGGAAGTCGGTCCCAAGTCCTGCCCCACACCACACGGCCCCGACCCATTCGCAGCAGGGTTGCCTGCAGCAAACTTTCCATCACCTTGAGCTTCCGGAAGATTGCCGTCACCTCCAGCTTGACCTCCCCCAGTCATGCCTCTTCTAGCTGCCTCCTGAACCCCTGGGCTCCAGAATGGATTGATGTTGGGTGACCGAACTGGTGTTTGCCCCACCCCCTGCCCATAGTCCAAGGCTCTCGGGTTCATCAACCCACTTCCATCTCCAAACAACCCTCCTCGAGCTGCTGGATCAATGCCAGGTCCAAGAGGTGCTAATAGACCTTGACCTTGAGGTTGTCCTGCTAGTGCTTGCTGAAGTACATGATAAGTTCGTTGAACCGCATCATGAAGTGCCCCCAAGCCCACAGCCGATCCCGCCGATGCGGGAGGAGTTGCCGCAAGCTCCCCAGGTTTCACCGATTTCAGCGACGACGAAGCGACACCCACCCCAGCTCCCAACTCTCGGTGACCTTCATCCAATGCCCCCATCACCGGTGGCCTAAAGGATGTAGGTGGTCCCCTCGGCGTGCTGCCCACTTCCATCGACCGTCTCGGTCCCGCGTCCGCGGATCTCGTCCGCCTGACTTCCTCCTCAATCAAGGCGTCGAGCCTGCGGTCAGCCTCACCGATCACCAGTGAAGCCTCCGCTCTTCTTTGTCTGCCAGCTGCTCCAGCGCCTGCTGCACCAGCGCCAGCTGCATCGCCAGCTGCATCGCCAGCTGCACCAGCGCCAGCCGCACCAGCGCCAGCCGCACCCTCAGCCGCGCGCCTTCTGCGCATCACGGTGGACATGGCGTAGCTCAACAGGTTGGGCTCATAACCTGAGCGTGTATGGGCAGCAAAAGCAAAAACGCAGCCGCCCTCGTTTTCTTGAGCCAAAGTTCAAAGTTGGTTATGCTCAGTGCTCATGACTGACGTGTCAACTTCACGAAAAAAGGGTAGAGTGGTGCTTAGGATTTCTCAGATTCAAATCAATAACTGTTTTCCTTATTGAAGGCATGCTTCCCCACCTGTCAGGCTCGGTGAGAGTTGTTAGATTTTATGTCAGCTGCCTCCTGCTCGTCCTCCTCCGGACCTCAACCGCAAGTGCAAGATGGCAGTGTTCCCGGCCGGACCGCCTTCGGCTGGCAGAGCTCAACCGCGAGCTCCGGCGGGCAGCGTTCCCCGCCGGACCTCAACCACGAGTCAGAAGATATGCAAGATAGACCGCCAGAAAGAATGTCAGATGATAGAATGTCAGAAGATATGCCAGAAACATGTCACAAAAAATGTCAGAAGACATGCAACTACTCTATTGAACGGTTTCGTATTTTTGATGGTGAGTGGCGGAACCATGGCTTACGCCACACGGCCACTAGTCCGTTTGGTGCTGGAGGCGAGTTGAGGCTTTGGGCAAGGGCAGTCGAGCAATGGAGGCTCATTGGCGCCGTCGTGTACTGGGTGCTTTTGTGATGATTGTCCTCGTCTACTCAACGCGTTTCGAGGTGGTGGCTTGGACAAACGATATCTTCCAAATCGCATCGGAGTCCTCGTACTTTTATTATGTATTTGCTGTAGCAGGACACGTGGTAGCAGTGGTCCTCGTGGTGTTGGCCTGAACAATGCAGCCAGCATGGCCGTCGCATTCGCCTTCGCAATGCTCAAGATGTTGCTTTCGTATGGTCCGGTGCACAATAGGTGAAAGTCGACCTAGGCAACTCGTTAAACTGTTTCAATACATGCCAGAGAACTTGTCAGATTGAAATGTCATGGTGGGGATCACTCGAAGTAAAATGATTTGTATTAATTTGTGTATTGATTGGATGTAATTTGTTTTCAACTTAACTTCAATAGTACAAGCAAATCAAAGATCAAATGAAAAACCAAATACACAAACATAAAAATATTAAATACACTAAGAAAAACAATAGGGAAATCAATTGCAAAGCTGACTTTCTTAGCCTTCCAGCCCAGTCTTTCAGCTGAGAATTCCTTCGTATCTCTGCCCCTTTTGCCAATGGACATAGTTGCAGCAACACTTGATTACTTGATACTTGAGTGCTAGTTTGTAAGAAAGTTTGCTGCTCTTCAGTCTACAAAAGCAAGAGGTTTAGTTTAGCAAAAATATGCTGTAACCAAAAATAAATATATATATATATATGTATGCTTTGCCAAGGCATCGCAACACACCTTTGTTTGTTTGTTTGGTTGGTGGTGTTTGTTGCTTGTGTGGGTGAAAAGGTGTTCGAAGTTTGGAAACCTTGAGCCATGGAACACCCATGTTTCCACCTAGTGCGCTTGGCCCCCTCCCACGCCACTTTCCACACGCCAACGATTGCGGCATGTCATGGCGTGTCCCTTTTGTGGAACAAAGCCCTTGGGCCCACATTGTAGCATTGTCCTTTTTGACAAGGACACCATCCTCAAAACAAACCTCTTGTTTTTTCAAGCCTGGGGATTTGTGCTAGCTAGATCAGGAACTCATCAGACTCAGCTGTCAGTTTTCAGCCATGGGTCGAAAGACTTGGGCCCAAGAAGCACTGCAAAGGCCAGGGAGAAAAAAGGCAAGAGAAGAACGCACCGACGTTCGCAAAGGCCGCGCGCAGTTCAAAGATGGGATTTGGAGGCGAACCACAAGTTTATTATGGACACACTGGTGAAGAATCCCAAGTGGATTCAGCCTTTGGCCATGGTGTATACTGCTGTTCGTGAGGCTATCGGGTCTGCTTTGGACGATCCCGATGCTGCTTTTGCTTGGGTACTGGAGGTTCATGCTAGCTACTATTAGGGAGGATAAGTCCAAACTGGCATCCGAACGTTCGGTGATCCCGGTAAGTTCACTTTAGAGGCAAAGCTTCTTGCAGCACCAAAACTGCCACCAAGGGATTCATCCGGTCCAGATCATTGGACTTTTGAAGGACATTCTACGATGGAGTTGGACACCGCACCGTCAAACACATGTTCTTGTCTCAAGACATTTTGTGTCTATGGCCCACACCGCCCAGGCTGCGCCGATGTATCTATCGATCCATTTTTTTTGTCTATCTTTCTATCTATCTATCTAGCTATCTAGCACCTGCCACGAAATCTGCACTTCAAGGTCCACAAAGTACTGCGCCTGCCACGAAACACCAAAAAAACATGTGTTTAACAATCCTAAATTAAATCCGAGCCCTTTAGGAGACGAGTTTGTTTCCGGCAGTCTTCCGGAGAAGGCTTTCCACTTGGATCTTAGAACAGCAGTCGTTGCACGGAAGGGGCACTGGCCTCTCAATCCGGACGGCAGCTATGTTTCTTTTGCCATGCGGAAGCCTTTGAGCTCAACCATCTCTAGAACGAGTGCCCCTGCAGTGACTACTTCAAAAGAGGATTTGAAAGTCACGTTGCAGCCTGGCTAGTGATTGTAGGTGGCTTGAATTTGGCCCCTATGCTCAGGCAGTCTCATTGGCAGTCCACAAGCATCTTGGTCCTACGAGGAAGCCGTGGTGGCAAATAAGAAGCTGGCGGCCATGCCCGACATTGACGGAGGTGTACTCCGTGAAATGACGCTTCCGGAGACGCTGTTTGACTTGGCTGATGAGTACCTGACAATATGGGGGTTTCGAGATGCGACTTATCGCATTCAGCGGCCTCTTTGGGACTCGATCCCAGGTGGTGGTAATCTGAGTAACAGAAGACCGCTTGTAAGCCGTGGTGAGAAGGATACGGGCTTGGCGGCCTTTTTGAAAACGGTGTGGCCTGAAGGTTCGGATTCAGACATTCAAGCGCTGATTTCCGGACATTTGCCGTGGTCACACGCCCTACCTGACACACGTCAGTGGATTCTGTCTCAGATTCCATCTCAGGGTGTCTTCACAGGAGCTCATAAAAGCGAGCACATGGCGCAAGTCGAGTGGCAGCAATGTCAACAAGCTGTTGCCACTGGACAATTCATTGCCATTGTGTGCGTGGATACTAAAGAGGTTTACCTCGGCCGATGGGCGCTCAAGATCTTGTTGGAGATTAGGGATTCAGGCAGCGCATGTTCAGAAACAATTTTGACTAAGCCCATTTGTGTGCTTTTTGCGTTTGAAAACAGTCTCGCTCACAAATCCATCGGAGCCCCGATGGAAGGGGAGATGTCGGAGGTGGGTGGACCTACGGTTATAAGCAGATGATCAACATGATTGCTGCCACTCCGCCACCGGTGTCGTTGTCCGAGCAGTGCAGGAAGGGCGCCGTGCTTTACGGTACAATTTTGGGTTGGACCAAAAACACCTATAGTACCTCAAAACCCAGGACATTCGCTTGGTAGCAACACCTGCTGAAGGTGAACTTCTTGTCCTTAAGTCGTACGTCGTGCGCGTCGTTGCCGCGTCCCGAAATGCCTCACAAGATCGCTTTGAGGCTTCCAGCGCCCTCAGAGTCGGGCCCCGAAATCCTGGATGTTGGTTTTGGAACCTCTGAGGTGCGCGAAGGTAACGCGTCGAACGAAGCGTCGGTGTTCGAGCGGCTGGGGATAAGGGTGTCACTGCCCAGTTGTTCGTGGAAGAAAAGCTTGAAAGAAGAGGCAGAAAGGGTAGTTGTTTTGTAGAAATGGCCATTTTGTAGGGCATGAACCATGGTGCCAGGAACAGGTAAGCAAGTCGTTTTTGAAGGTGTAGATTTAAAGGAGCGCATTCTAAGATATTAGTGCAACATAGTGGAACAAGTATGTCGTGCAACCCCCAACACCTTAGAAGAGAAGACTAGATACATTCAGCAGGCAATTGATTGAACATTTGACAAACAAATAGCACGGTACCGAAAACGAACTCATGTTTTTTGCCGCTTTTGTGACACGATATATATGGCCCCTTCATGAGGCACACAATCGAGACACCGAGAACTCCCTCCGCTTCCTCGTTCGGTTTCGGTTTCGGAGTCCTTCGGTCCCAAAACCAGGGTATCGGACGTACTGGGCATTTGTTGTTGTTGTTGTTGTTGTTGTT